TATTCCACAATTACGTACATTATTGTAATTTTTTGTCCATATTGAAGTGAAAATTTTTACTTTGTGTCATCGTATTACTATTAATAATAATAATATTAATAATATTTCTACTCCTCATTCTAACTACGAGAATTAGCCCAGAAGTCGGAGACTTGTGCGGGAGAGGAGGCGGCATATTATTATTACGCAGGCCGCATTTGCGCCCAGGAACGACTAACCGAACCACCATTCAGTGCAGGAATGAGGGAAACCTGAAAAACCTCATTAATTAGGGGGGTGGTCAAATGCCAACCGGTGTCAATCTCTCACATTGACCCAAGCCAACATTCTTCCACCCTACCATACCTGCACAGAGGGTGCCAATCCTCCGTACAAGCATAGCTAATCTACGGTCTACCGACTGCGGAATTCGAAACCCGGGCAGATCGACACATCGATTTAAGTACTGACGCCTTAAACCGAGCGGCTATTGACCGTGTAATTATCACCAAGAATGATATATCAGTTAAAGCTGTGATGTTTTTCTTCAGATGTTTACATGTTTATGAAAAATAGCAAAATAGAGAAAAAAATATGTATAAAAAATTACAGTCTACCTGGTTATTGTATACATAATTAATACATTAATTAATATAACTAATTATCTTAAATAATGATATTTTGTTCATCTATTTGTGTGTATGTGTGAATGTGAACAACACAGCTGTCTTTGATGTGTTATTCTTTGTAGCAATTGTTACACTTTACTATATAGTCCAATTAACTAAGCCTTTAAATCGAAATTTTGTCAACTTGGCTGAATTTTTGATATGAGTTAGTTTAAGGTATATTATAACAATAAGTGAGAGTAATTTTTTGTTCAACCCCCGGCCAACGGTGGAAAAAGATAAAACAAAGGGCTTTTTCAAGATAACTCAAATAGGGTAAGAAAAAGTTTTTCATAAAAGTTGTAAAGCAGACAATTCTACATAAAAATGGTCTCTTAGCTTTTTCTTGTACTATTAAAATTAACAGAGTTAGGGAGGCTAGAAGTTAAGGGAAGATTTCAGAAATTTAATTTTGTTAAATCATTAAAATTAACGATTAAAAATTTGATTTTTTGTTATAACTTTCTTATTAAAAATTAAAAAATATATCTATTTCTCTGAAAAGAAAAGTTACATATTTTAGAGCAGATTGAAAAAAAAAATTACAAAATTCAATCATTTTTCTGTTTGTTGTGATTTTTTTTAAATTTCTGAAATCTTCCCTTAACTTCTAGCCTCCCTAACTCTGTTAATTGTAATAGTACAAGAAAAAGTTAAGAGGCCATTTTATGTAGAATTATCTGCTTTACAACTTTCATGAAAAACTTTTTTTTCTAGCTCTTACCCTTTTTGAGTTATCTTGAAAAAGCCCTTTGTTTTATCTTTTTCCACCCTTGGCCGGGGGTTGAACAAAAAATTACTCTCACTTATTGTTATAATATACCTTAAACTAACTCATATCAAAAATTCAGCCAAGTTGGCAAAATTTCGATTTAAAGGCTTAGTTAATTGGACTAATAAAACCGTGTGCTTTAGCAAAATTAAATATACGAAACACTTTTTTACACAATAAATGTGACGTTTAGTTCCTGAGCTGGGACTTTTTCAAATAGCTTTATTACGTGTACAAATAAAATACATTGTTGAGTGTATTATAAATATTAGTTTTAATTATTATAATAAGTGAAACATTTACAGAAATTATGAAGGTTACAAATAAAAGTTTTTTTTCATAAAATTCTTTCCTATTCCAAAAAATTTATCTCTGTTTTGTTTTCCACCTGAATAGTTTTTATATGTTAATAATTTTATAGCTAATTCCTGGTAAATTTGTTTTTTTTAGTCAGTATGGTATGAATTGTTTGTTGATTTTTAGCACTAACTTAGGTTCTTTTGTTAACATTTTTGTTTGATCAAAATTAAATTAATGAATTTTTGTCTTTTACATTTGTAGAAAAATTTTTGGAAAATGTATGTCCTTTTATATTTTGCAATGCCATAACAATATATTGGCTATTACAGTTATTACATAGGATAAAACAAATAAAACGAATTTCTTGGTAGGAGAGTCTTGCATTGTAATTATTTATTTAACTGATTATAACATTTATAGGCAATTATATTAGTTATATTTTTTCAGATAAAGTTTGTATATATGATAATATAATATAAAGAGAAACTGTAAATTGGTGGCCCATTTTACTATTCTTTTTTAAAATTTATTATAAAACAATTATTCTTTGTTTTACGATTTTATTTTAAAAAATTGAGGATAGTTATCGCATCTAAAGAATTGACTTTATTTATAATTTTTGGGTGGTGTGATGACTATTTAAATGTAAATTTCTATTTATTAATCAAATGACAATACTTTTTTAAATGTAACGATATACACATTAATATATTATTTTAATGATACAATAATACGATAATCTTTCTTATTACTAACGATAACGATAGTAATACCGAATAAAAATAACTTATATTAATAAGAAAAAATTTCTCGACCGAAAAGATAAAACAAATACAATTTGCGACGGTATCTAAGTCAATCCATATTTAGCTTAGATGCCCCATAAAAGCATATAAAGATTTGTGGTTGCATCAATATTATTTATGAATTCTAAGAGCAATAAAATTATAATTAAAATTCTATTTCAAATAATATTTATTGTTTTACAGATCACCAGGCACGTGTTATAATTTTACGGTGTTTTTTTACTAATTTATTTGTTAAATTCATTTACAGGGTGTAAATAAACTGCTTGACCAAACTTTATTAACCGATTCTATGCCGCGAATTTACTGGAAGATGTTCCTATAACTCATAACTGGAAAAACTTTATTTTCGAGAAACATAATGTTCGAATGACTACAGAAAATTTGGAAAATTGTGGACAAAACTCCAAATAAATTAAAGAAAAACATACATACTTATTTGCATATAAAAAACGAAAGTTGAGAAAAAGCAAGCAATCTTCTTCAATATTTTTTTTTGTTAACTGTTTTAAAAATATTCACTACTCTCCTAAAGGCAGGTACTGTTTTGTACATATAACAATTAATAATAAAAAAATGCATCTGAACCAGATCTAGATGAAATAAGTGCGAAAAGCATAAAAAATATTCATTTGCATCTTATTAAACCTTTGCAGTAATTAATAAATTTTATGTTCGCACAAAGAATCATTCCCAAGTTCTATTAATGTAGTCATGGGACTTACGAAAGGTTGTTAATAGTTTAGTCTTCAATAAAAATAGTCTTAGAGTATTTCTTGATCTCGCTAAAGCATTTGATTCCCTTATTCATGATAGATTACTAAATCGTCTGGAAAATATTGGCATTAGAGGTATTGCACTTAATATGTTTGAAAACTATGTATTTAAAAAATCGATTTCAGAGAAATATCGTAAAATATGAGGAACTGATATGTAACGCCTTTTATGAAAGTTGTAGATTTTGAGAAGGTCTTTCATATCTCGTTAAAAAGTACAGGGTGTTCCATTTGAAAAATATAAAATTTTTGTCTTTGAAAAAGATGACATTTGTTACTATTTTATGAACACCCTGTATGACATTTATAAACAGTGACCACTTCAGAATTTACGGTGAACCTAGTACAATATGTGTGCCGATTGCTTAGATTGTATCTTAAAGTTAAGTTCCTGTTTTAAGGGATTCATAATTACTAAAATTCGAGCTAAAATTGCCTCTAAAAATCAAGGCTAACACGATTAGTTTTCGAAATATTTGAAAAAATCCGAAATAACTATGTGAATTTCACAGGCTCTAACAACACTTGAGTGTGCGATAATTCAATAAATATAAAAATGTAAATACAAAAATTTAGATAAGTTTAGAACGAATACATTGAAGATGAATTTTTCCAGATAAAACGTCTGAATCTGGTTCGGACTGAGGCAGTACAGTATTGGGGATCATGAAGGATTTCAATATCACCTTAAACAAGGCTGAAATAAAACAAACACGGATTTCCAAAATTTCTGTTTTTTCAAATATTTCCAAAACTAATAATGTCAGCTTTGATTTTTTGGAGACATAATGTTGGTTTTAAATTATGCAACTTTGCTCTTATTTAAGCTAGTTCGTATCTCTTACGATTTCCGAGATCCCTGTAGTAAGAAGTGAATTTGTAACCTTTTGTTAAATTGTGCTTGAACTCTATTAATTTGAGATTTGATAGTATCCCAGTTACTGTAAATAAGTAAAATACTATTGTTACCTTCTAACTAAAAAAAACTGTAACGTAAATTATATTGGTTCTATGACGTTGCTTCTAATCTACACGAAACTAATGGACTCTTGTGTCTAGTAAATTCTATTCTACTCACATTATGGAAGCGGCATTAATTGATATTCAAGAGGTTGTGAGCTAATACATCACTGATCTTATCAACTAGTAATATCGGTTGACCATAAACATACAGAGTGTAATAAGTCACACATTTTATTTTCTGAATCAAATTAAAATAATAATTAACGATATTGTGGGTATTCATGTAAAGTTTTGCTCTAAATCCAGTATTGTAATCAAATTTTCTTCCTAATAAAACTAAATCTGTTCTCTTATTTACATTCATTAACTACTGGTATTCGAAGTAAAACCAGCAATGGTCTTGCAAAAATAAATACCCAGCGATAATCAGAAGCTATCTTTTTTTGTTCAATAATTACGAAACAACCCACCGACAATTATTATCCTTTGTTACATCAGAAAGAAAACACTTGGTAATAAAACGGAGTAAGTGACCGCAGATTATCCTTGAAAAAAAATGCCAAACAATGGAGAAAAGCGCGCCGCGCTAGGCCGACCATCCAACGAAATTCCTATTCAAGGACTATTTTCAGTCATATCGCCCGTACTATTGCGTATTATCTTCTAATCCAGCTAGGAGTTTCTGACAATATAACTACTCGTGTGGAGTGTAAAAATTTAGTCCTGTCGTCTCAGTGATACAGGAGACTACCAATCAAAACTGTGATATATATTTTGTAATTTATTTTTTAATGTTAAGTTCCATTTGAGCCAATTCTCGGGTTTTACTTCAGTTCTTCTTTTTTTGTGTGAAAAAACGGGAAAATTATGTTGCAGGGATGGAGACTAACAGTTTCAAAAAGTGAGTTTTACTTATATTTTTTTGCTACATTTACATACCTTTATTTTGAGAAAATATAATTTAGTTAACTGTTATATTTTTTAATTAAAAAATGTAAATATTTATTATTAAACTAATATGTATGCCAATTCACAAAATAGTTTTTTTTTATTGATAGAGCACGAAATATATAAATCTTTTTTTTAAATATGTTAAAAACTTGTTCTTTTGTTTTGTTCTTTTAAAAAAATAAATATAAAAATTGTAGACGAATTATACATAACTTTATCCAAAAAAAAAAAAGATATTTATTATAGACTGTATGTTTTACAATATTCCACTGACATGATAAAGAAAAATTTTTTTTATTTTCACTTATTTCCTGTGTTTCAAAAAAAAATCCGATCAAATGGGTATATTTTTGTAAAATTGCTAAAAAAACTATTAAACTTGATCACTCTGTATCTCATAAACTAAGAGTTTGAGGACCTTCATGTGAAGTTTTCTTTTCTTATTTTTGGTCAAATAATCACCTGTACAATTTTGACAATGTAATATTGCTATACTTAGGTACATATTTATAAAATTAGTTTTGCATTTTTTAAAAACTTTTCGGCTCAAAGAAAGGTAACCAATAACCATAAAATCATTCTGCCGTATTTTTTTTAATAAAACAAAACCCTGTGTCGTGTCCTTCAGGACCAGGAAGGACCCTATCCATAAAAAAGTCCGATTTGATTCCGCTCGCCTTCTTGAATTTTAATTCCTGAAAATGTGTTGATCTGATTCAATCTGCATATGCGTTTAACAACAATAATAATAAACTCTTCCACACAAGACTAGTACCAATATGGACAATAAAAAGTTTTCAACCTAAACTGCTTATACTTTATAAAAAGCGTTTTATTAATTTCATTCTTCAAACCCCGATATATTAGGTTGGAAACTTTTTTGTCCGCAGCTGTACATGTTCGGAGTAAGGAATAAAATAAAGTTTATAAAGCTGTCAGAATTAACATCAGTTTTGCCTAAAACGATTTGTTTTTCTGGGAATATTACTCAGATGAACTCTCTTGCAATGGTTATTTCTCATTAAGTACCTGTCAAAGAGAAGATTCTACTTAACAAATGAAGTCCTGGGTGTCCACGAATCTGTTGTTTTAATTAAAAAAATTAATAAACCATTTTCTACATGGATTATCATAGATCTATTATCAATAATGTAATTGAATTATATTAGGGATTATATAGCTTTGAATCAAATTCTTATACTGTCAGATTACAGTTTCTTAGAAAAAACTCACGTTTCGATGTTACTTTGATAACATAATTCATTTGATTTATCTACGTGATGTCAAAGCACATTTTTTAACTAAATTTTGCAAGGTCGAATCAATGTTTATCCTCCTCAAAAAATAAATAAGCATAAAAAATGTTAGGATTTTAATAACTGTTGCATTTTCCACACGGCTTCCTTTGCACTTTGCAATTGGATGGCTTTGGCAATTTAATTTTTAGCGTTGCTGTTAAATCGAGATTGATAAATTAATTGAGATCAGTTTTTACAACCTCATAAAAGAGTGAAAAATACCGATTTCAGTTGTGTGCAAAGATTTATTGACTAACAATAAAACAATTAAGCAGTAATTTCGATACAGTCGATATTGCAGGGTAATGTTAAGTAAAATTATTTGATATCAATTTTACATGGAAGTTTTTCATTTAATTTTATGTAGGAATGTTTGATAACTTGGGGGAAATTTTCTAAAGATATACGTTTATTTAATTAATATTTAATAAATATACTATAGATTATGTAGCTGAATGGAAACATTCAAATTCTGGTGTAGATTTAACCAAGCCGAGTATATATTATGAAACAGTTTCATTCTCAGTAATATCCAAAAAGTATAGATAGAAAAATCTTTATTTATGCTTCCAAACGATGCCCACGGAGTGGTCTTTTAAGTTTAGGGAATAGCCAGAAGTCACTTGGTGCTAAATCAGGCGAATACGGTGGTTGCGGAACGCAGAATTGTCTGTCCAAAATTCCGGCCTTTTACGGCGAATAGCATTACGCAAACGACGCATAACACTCAAATAATATTCCTTGTTAACAGTTTGGCCTGTTGGAAGAAATTGATAGTGCACCACGCCACATAATCAAAGAAATCTGTCAACATGACTGACTTTTGACTGACTGGCCTGGTTTTTCGGTATTGGTTCACCTTTTGCACGATATTCATATTCGATTGATTGATCAGCTGTTTCCGGGTCTTAAGCGTAGATCCAAGTCTCTTCTTCAGTACTGATGCGTTCCATGGCGTCTTGGTAGTCAGAAATCATTGTTTCACAGGTGCCAACGCGACGAGATTTGACAAGGGACAACAAATCTTTTAAAATGGTATTTACCGACCTTTTGAAATGCCAAGAAAATTTAATGCAAATTCTTTGCTCAACAAAATCAAGCATAGTGAAAATCGATAAACTCACTTCCGTATGTTTACAAAAACACGAGTAGCTCTGCAGGAATTGAATATATTGACTTGAAACTCTGCATAGATATCAAGAACAGTACTACCAACCTACAAAAAAATAATTATATGCTTTCATAATACTCTCGAATTTTAAATAAGTAATTCACCTTATTTTTTTGGACATATTTCTTTTATATTATCTTCATTAAGTGTTTACTTTGATTACTGTACTTTTCATTTACATTTATTTCGGTAAATTGTTATAATATAGCTTTCTGAAAGTAACCCTATTATCTTTTAAGTATTATTGATTCAATATTTGATATTCAAGAGTATCACACTCTTACTGTCGGTAATATTTATCGGTAGAAAAGCATAATATTTGCCTTCTTGGACAAATGAAACGTGTGTAAATAAATACTCGTGGCAACGAGATGTCTCTGTTAAAATAATGTGTTTTCTATTCAAACACAGAACTGTGGTCTTTTATGCATAATGATTGTTTTATTTATATGAAAAAATTATTTTAGTTCTGAGGACCACAAAAAATATGTTTTCTACTCATATGCTCTAGAGATGAGAATGAAAATGTAAAACAGAATTTTCTTAATTAAAACGCTAAATTTTGCGTACCTATGTATTTAGGGGGATCCGTAATTAAATGCAGTAAAGCTTACTGCGGCAGTAGGCATGAAAAATTATGAAAAATTTCTTAATAAAATCTTGATCATTTATATCTGAAAAGCTCTAAAATAAAAATTATATTTTTTTATTATTTCGAAACGGTTTATGTGCTGACAACGGGTCATTTTTAAGCATACGGAATTAAATATCAGGTTTTTTTAAATAACCTTGGACAATTTTTTTAAAAACAGCCTATTACATACAAATAAAATCTTATAAATTTTTAATAGAAGGCGCAATTTTTTATCGATATCTCAGCACTAAATAGAAAGAAATTCAAATAAATGACAGGTATTTTTATAAGGTTTCGGTTCTAAACCAGGGTTTAAAAACATTTCCCTCAGCTTGACCCAAACACAAATTAGATATTGGTTGAATTATTGAAAATAGAAATATTTATATCTTTTAAAGTTGTATTTACACAAGTTAAAAACTATAAAAATAGCTTCCTATCACTTACTTGAAACAATGTGTCATGCAATGTTCAAAGCGTACCAATTAAGTTGTTAACTAAAACCCCGCCTTTTAGTGCTAAAATATCGAAAACCGCAAACATCTCGAAAATTATACCACTTATCAAAATTTGCGATAAGTTTTATTTGTAGATAAAAATAATTTTAAGACTTTCACGGTTTCGCCGCCTTACAGACTTACAATGCACTTTCTTAGCTTTAACTAGGAATATTTAACCTGTCCTGTTGTTCTCGGGCTAAGCTCTGTGGAAGTGGACTCGCTAATAGAACCCCTAAGCTCGCTCTGACTTCGATTTCGATTCTCTGTAGTTACCAATTGTTCGCATCCAATGCTTCTAAACGTTTCGCCGTTCTTCACTACATCTTCAGTGGTAACTATTCAAAAGCTTCTCAGCTATTGACAACCAACAACAGGAAATAAAATCAATATCAGGGCGAGACTAGGTATTCTGTTAGCGGATTCGCCCCCACAGAGCCAATCCCGAGAACAACAAGAGCAGGTTCCACCCTCTAAAGAAGTGCATTGCAAGTTTTATAGGTAAAAGTCTGTTAGTTAGAAAAATTGTGGAGTTACTATAAAACCCTGATTTGTAATTATATATTTATACAAATGACTGCAGCTGCCCTCATGTTTACGTCACTGATTACATTTTTTCGATAATATCACTAAATTATGTCTCGATTCGACTACATTCACATGTTTTTATTTTAAATCGTTTCGAAATTGTTAGGAAATTCCAATTCATTTCAAGGACATTTCCATAATGTTCCATATTTTTTATTATAGTATACTTTACGACGTACAATTATGGACCACCCGTATGTATCTAAAAACAACTAAAAAGTAATAACATAACAACAACAACAACAATATAGATGATATTTGTTGATTTACAAGAATAAAAAAATATAATAATAATTTGCTGTTACATTTCATTTCAAATTAATTGAAGAAAAAATTATACGGGGTGATTCATAAATGATGACCAAAAATGAAACTTCGTATTCTTTGGTGAATCTTAAGGGGGAGTCCTTCCTATAAAGTTTTTATCTAGAATGCTTCGTTAAAAAGATACAGGGTGTTAAACTTCAAAAAATACTTTAAATTTATTTTAAATAATTTAAAAACTAGTAAGTGAAATAATTTGAAATTGGGTACATATATTTATGTGAACATTGTCCGCCACTGGAGCATGTAAATTTTAGGAACAACCCTCAGATTTTGGACAATGTTTACATAAATACATGTTCCCAATTTGAAATTAATTCAGTTACTAGTTTTTAAATTATTTAAAAAAATTACAAATATTTTTTAACACCCTGTATATTTCTAACGAAGTGTCCTAGATAAAAAATTTATAGGAAAGATACCCCTTAAAATTCACCAAAGAATACGAGGTTTAATTTTTGGTTACCATTTGTGAATCACCCTATCCCCATATTCATATCATTAGGAAAAATGATAAAAAATTTCTTTTTTTAAATCTTAATAAAATATTTTTTTATACATGTCTAGAAATATATTAAAAAAAACTGAAAATGCATGCGACAAAAACGTACATTTTCAAGAGAATACATGTATTGCTATGGAAGCGACTAAGCAAACAATTAATAATTAATTTGATATTAAATTGAATGTAAAACTATTTGCATACTTATATTAGTGAAAAAAAAATGATGAAATACTTACCTAATTCATTTCGTTCGTGAACTTGTCCTACTCGCTGTTAATGCGGCTCGTGAATATTGAGGTTTTTGCCACCATTTCAGATATTACCGTAAAATGAACTAATGTGGAAAGAAACTTGACACATGTCTTTTATTTTCTTTGTGAAGTCATTATATATCCGGAAATTTAGAAAAAAAGATAAAACGGAACGAGTCTGATTACTTTTAATTGTGCCTCCTAGTAACAGAAAGTAGCGGGTGAACGACATATCTTGGGAAATGCATTTTTCTTGAGAATTACTGTAGAAAATTGTTATTTTTTTGATTGCCTAGCTGTTCATTTATCTGTTATGTTATATTTAAGAAAAGTCATGAAATTTTTTTGGATTGTAATGACAATAACCTTTATTACTTTTCCTGAATTTTACAAGCATATTTAATATAAAAAAATTGCGTACGTTACTATAAACATAATCACACCCCTTAGAATACTTTTATGAATCTAATAGCCCGTGAATTAAACCATAACTATTGAGTATTTGTACAAAATTCTCGACAAAACAGGAAAGATACATTCCTACGACAAAATAAGGGAAGTCTTGTATTTCATTATTTTTATAGTTTAGATGGATTTTCTTGCCCTCTCATTGTCTTACTAAAAGTGCTATTTCTTCTCTATAAAACACCAGCCTTATTACTGTTCGTTTGGAACCATATTCTTAAGTTACCTTATCATTTTATTACATGTTGATTTTAAAAATTCGATAATTCTGCTTAACACAATTATAGATATTTATGTCATTAGCACGGACAATAAGTTTAGTGGATAAAGAAGTACCTACGTCATTCATATACAACAAAAACAATACTGGGCTTAATATAGATCTTTGCGGAACATCTGTACTGATATCGGTTCAACGATTCAACTTAGTAGTTTGTATAGATTTAAAACCATTATAATTAATGGAAGCATTGTTGTCTTAAAAAAAAAGTTCATCCAATTTGAGGCGTTTTATACCATAAAAATATAGTTCGTCTATTTTTTATCCATGATAGATATTTAGTTTTAAGGTTTTTACATTATTGAATATTGTATTTGAGTTCTAATTTTAATAATAAAAATAGATGATAAAAATAATTACAATAGAAATACGAACACAAAAATTGAAATAATCCAAATAGTCCAATTAAAGTCACTTATTGTTCTTATGTATCTCAAACTATGTATGTTAAAAATTCAAGCAATTTGACCAAATTGCGATTTAAAGGGACTAAAACAGGTGTCCAAAGCCGTGACGTAAAAACTGTCACAAAAACCATCTTCCTCTTCTGCAATGATTAGTTGTACTCATTAACATTAATTAGAAATTACCCGTTTATGATTAAATTCAACGCGACGCTTTCGCTTCACAACTATTTTTTACGACGTTAGAATCGCAATCACTTTTCCTATTGAATGACAAAACAATTGCGAAAACGTTTTTTTATTTTCACGGTCAATATTGTCGATTATGGATGTCGAATCGATACGGACTACGTTTGTTAAGACTTCCAAAATTGCGACAAGTATTACAATTGCTATTGCCAAATATACGGGGTGGACCAAAAAAAGTAAAGGAATGGCATGCGAATAAATATACATGTTTGCAGTATGCAGACAATGGCATAATCTTATGGGAAATGCTCGACAGAATAGAACAAAACAGTTTCTGTCGTACAGGGTATTTCAAAAAAAGTACATGTGAAAATACAGATTTCTTTTTTTTTGTAATTTTATTTGTTTTTGCTATATCTGGAAATACCAGCAATATATGCTGCCCTTTTCCATCTCGCACTAAAGCAAATGGCAAAATCGGTCAATAAAATGGAAATTTTACATAAAGCGAATTTACTATTCCTTAATATTTACTTACAATTTTTAACAAAGCATATCCAGTGCTATATTTAGTTACTTTTTAAATTAACTAAACAAGGAGATAGAAGGAGATAAATAGTTTTAGAATTAGAACACTATAAGATATACTTTGAGAAAATTTAGCGACTTGTGTTTGATAGGTATATGTATATATTTAAATTTCACCAGTCATTTTATTGCTATGTTGTGGAACTAGGCCTAAAGTCGAGTATTATTACACATATTTGCTAGAATTAAGTAAAAATCTTTTAATACCCTGCTAGCTACCACTGATAAAATTTTATGAATTTATAAACTGCCACTATTTGAGTTACAAGTACTAAAAACCGTTGTCAAACATGTAAAACAATATTAGTATTGTTAAAAAATATATATTTCCAGTCGTCATCATTCTTGTACACATTTTTGATTCGTCTTCTATTTGTTGCAGAATTTGACTACTTTCTGTATAAAAAACATAATAAAATCTCAATAAATACATTATTTTTTATTAGAATTTCAGTAATATTCAGTGTTGCAATAATTCACTGATCAAAAAGAAATGTTTTAATGATACATTAAAATTGTTAAATACAGTAAACTTATTTGATACGCAAGAATAGGCTATCAATACGCCCATGCTGATAAAGAGTGACCTGCAACTTCGCAGATATTATGAAAACACGACTGACTTTATATATAATTCTGTAGAAAACAGCTACTCTGCCGACTACATGCCCTGACCAGCATTGAATTATACCAGCAATATCTAACAAACAGCTAGGATCATTCGTCAGTCGAACCCACTAAACATATACCGGTTTCAAACTAATTAGACCTCATCCAGTATGCCACAGGTGAAACAATCAATGATCCAACTTTTTTGATGCCTTAACTATAGTCCTAGCCGTTTACTAGATATTTCCGGTCGAGGCATGTAGGCCGCAGAGTATTTGTTTCCCGAAATACCATCAGTTTAACTTTTTTGATGCCCCCAATGCATTTCTTGGATCAAATATTTTTCTTTTCCAGTGTTCCTGATACCCCAGCGGTACATCCTAGGCATCATGGGCTTCCTTGCCGTTGTAAACGCATACACTATGAGGGTCTCTCTTTCCATAGCCATAACAGAGATGGTGGCATCTTCAAATGAGACAGACTCAGTGGATGTGGATGCTTGTCCGGCGGACAACTCGAGCAGCTCCTCTGGATCAGTAACGGTAAATAAATTTTGAAAAGATGCTGCGTTGCCAAGTGTACACTTATTAAGATTTGCTAAATAAGGTCGATTTAAAGTTAGATCTATCTTTACTTTATTTTAATAATTTCTTACTGGTGGCAAGTATTTAATAGTTACAAATATTTTATTATCAATTCTGTAAATTATATAAAAAAAATATAGCACTTGTGAGATCTTCAATGAATTCTAGTAGTAGGAGAAATTTTAATTCTTTCGAATCTAAATAGCCTCAAAATTCTACTTACCACGCCATAGTATTTATCTGATATTATTTTGAAAATATGAGACGTTGCCAAGTTTTCATTTTTTAAGTAGATCTGCGAAGTTTTTATAGTTAGATATCTCACATTTCCAGCAATTCCCAGTAATTTTTAACCATTGTCATTTAGGACTCCAACATCCTGTATGACTGGGACGAGACAACTCAGGGATTAATACTTAGTTCATTCTACTGGGGTTACGTTATAACTCATTTACCTGGGGGTATTTTGGCCGAAAAATTTGGAGGTAAATACTCCCTAGGCTTGGGGATCCTCTCCACAGCAATTTTCACCCTCGTCACCCCCTGGGTCATTTACAGCACCGACGGTGACTGGAGGATCCTGGTACTCCTCAGGGTACTGGAAGGATTAGGAGAGGTAAGCTTAATAAGGTGTTTATAACCTTATTTTTGTTTTACGTAAAAAAAAGTGCGAACACGTTGAAAACTACTGAACTAGAGAGGAAATGACACATCGCATCATCCATAATGATCACTGTAAGTGATCGATGTTGCCACTCTGTTTGTAGCGAAGTAGAAAACGATTCGCGTACAGTGTTCTGCAGTTGCCGCAGTTTGTCAACATTCACCGTATATTAATAGCATTTTAACTATGCACCATTGTAAAACAAAACACCTACCTTCAAGTTCTTTATCAAAGCAGTTACATTGGTGTTGAGGAATGTATTTTTGACAGAATAAACATTTTTTTAGGGAACTACTTACCCTGCATTGAATGCGATGCTAGCCAAATGGGTGCCGCTAGGAGAGAGGGCCAAAATCGGTACCTTGGTGTACGCCGGTGGACAAATTGGTGAGCGTCCTTTAATTTTTTTCGTACCCTACCAAACCCGAATTTGTACTCGTTCATATCTATGTTTTTTAATTCTGAAGAAATTATCAATGACAATTATATTTTCAAGGTACCATCGTCAGTAACAGTATTAGCGGAGCTTTGATCACCGCTACGAAAGACTGGGCTTCTGTGTTCTACCTATTCGGAGGACTTGGAATGCTGTGGTTCGTTATTTGGGCCCTGATTTGTTACTCAGATCCAGAAAGTCATCCTTTCATTAGCGACAAGGAAAAGATCTACCTTAGAAAAGAATTAGGTAAAACATTACATGAGTATTTTCTTAATTATACATATGAACTTGCCTACACTGAAAAAAAGTGTACATATGTTGTCAGTTAATTTAAAATATTTTATATATTCCAGAGAACGTCTCCAGTGAGAAAAAAACGATTCCATGGCGCCCAATCCTGACTTCCGTACCCCTCTGGGCCCTGATAGCAGCCCAGATCGGCCACGACTGGGGTTTCTTCACCATGGTGACAGATCTACCGAAATACATGAGCGACGTATTAAAGTTTAACGTCAAGGAAAATGGTTTATGGTCTTCAGTTCCCTACATAGTGATGTGGCTGGTTTCTATGAGCTCCGGATGGTTGTGCGACTGGTTGATCAACAAAGGGTACATGGGCATAACTTTCGCGAGAAAGTTCTTCACCACCATTGGTAAGTTGTAGTCCATCAAAAAAGTTTGTTATTTCTTTCATTTGTCTACACTTAACAACTTTTTTAGCTTCTCTCGGACCTGCTATATTCATTATGGTGGCTTCCTACTCCGGATGCGACAAATACCTCACGGTGGGAATGTTCACCGTCGCCATGGGCTTTATGGGCACATTTTACTGCGGTATGAAGGTCAACGCTTTGGATTTATCCCCCAACTACGCTGGTACCTTGATGGCACTGGTCAATGGAATTGGCGCAATCACTGGTATCATCACTCCTTATCTGGTTGGTGCCTTAACAGAAAATGTAAGTTCTATTTAAATAAAGGTTGACGGTTGAACACATAAACCAAATTTACTTGAGCCCTAAAGGTACGATGCGCAGTGGCATGGTATTGTTATGGGGGATGAACCTATACTAGGGGTTACCTGCTGTCTGCATTTTCATAATTTCTATAATTGCTTTGAATTTTGTCCCCCTCTGGAATGACCCAAAGAAGTCACATGTCTATTAATAAGTAAAAGTCCTGTCGACTAAAGGTTGTCTGTTTGCAGCACACTTTGAGCGAATGGAGGATAGTGTTTTGGATCTCCTTCGGAGTTTTCAACGTGACGAATCTGATCTACTGCTTCTTCGGCAGTGCTGAAGAGCAGTGGTGGAACAACCCTAACGCGCTCAAGGACCAAAAATTAGAATTAGAAAACGGCGGAAAGGAGAAGTTGAAGGCTGAGAAGAGTTGAAGACTAATAGTGCGTTTCAGAATAATATTTTCCGTATGTACGAAAGGACTTAAATATCGGATACTAGTAAGATATGACAATAGTGCCATTACTGTAAAGTTTTTTATGTGTAAGACAATTGGACGGTACTAGTATTTAGGTATATATATTTTTTGTAGGGAAATTCGGGATGAATTTCTGTTGCTACCCTGTTTTCCATTGAAAATAATATGAATTGTTAACTAAATTAATAATTATTATTGTAATTAGTGTAATTAAGTATAGTTTCTTAGTGGGACATTTTTATTAAATTCTAAAATTTGTTTTTTAACTAATTACTAAAACCCATCGTTTTGTTTTTTTTTTACTTTTCTAAGTACTTTGAGATGTGCAGAATACCCAGTAAAATGAGTAATTATTCTATTGTTGTTAAATTATTTATTAGTACTAAACCCATTGAAAAATAAACATTAAAAGTATATTTGCCTAATTTCTTGAGAATTAATAAGAACAAAAAGAAGAAATTTATTTAACACCCAACTACAAGAAATTGTTACAAGAAATTAAGTAATTTTATGTGTCTTTTCTTATATGCTTTCGATATTAAGATGTGAAATACAATCTTTACTTTCTTTGCACAAACAGAAAATAGGTAATTTTATAATTTATTACATCAGCAAAAAGTGACTTTGGAGAAGTCTTTTATGAATATAAAGAACAGAAGTGGGCCCAAATTTGAGTCTTGTGTTACCCCAGAGTTGACATTAGTGACTGAATGTGATTTTAAGTAAAAATATGGTGTATAGAGTAAATTTTATTTAACGTCATTTGACAATCAGTTGTCAGGTGACTAAGATAAGATCTTGGAGAATTGTCCGTTTCTCATTTCGTTCATAAAAGACAATTTTCAGGATTTTCCTGCCTGAAATGTTTAACTATATCGATTTACGTGAAACATAATAATAATATACTTAGTTACTTAGAAGAAAAATCTAAACATATGATCAACCTAACCTTATAAACATTACCTTCTTCGCTTCTACTACCAATAATGGACAACTTGCATATGGGATGTTCCATGTCAACCATGACACCGTTGTCTCCAAAAGGAAAAAGTACATTTAAGGTCCCAAAATGTTCGTATACCCAAGAGCTTTCGAATAAACGATGACCATTTTTAGGAAAATTTCGAAATTCAAAATGGCGGCCACAAAATGACGACTATAATTAAAAAGTTTAAAAAATAGTTCAGTACCTAGCTTAAAATCATCTATCCATGGAAAATACCCCAATCTAATAGTAAGCTTTACGATTTTGGACATGTTGAATCCGAATTTCATATTCTTAAAGTCCAAAAGTGGTACGAGTATTAGCAACAGACATTTTTGACCATTTTTTTGGTTTTTAGACCATATCTCCTTGTAACGTCCTCTATAAGAATCTATTTTTAATTTTTTTGACATATTGACTTAGATTTTTGTTATCTAATAAAATTTGGGTGAAGAGATCTGACCATTTTATTTTACCATTTTCTGGCAATCTTTGGCCACATCTCTGGTAAAAATGATATTTGTCTAGAAAAGGCTGGTTGTATGATTTTTGTCATCATAATTTCGATTATTGGGATCTCAAAGTACAAACAAATTTGGGTTGTAAGAACTGGCCACTTTCGACAGTTTTGTGGCACCTAGGTTTAAATTACTAGAGTTCCGATTAATTAGGTATTTAGTTTTTAATCTTGATGCCTTTAGCTATGTTAAATTCAAGGTTGTTTAGGGCTTTATCCCAAAAAATGCCAAAAAATTGTCAAACAATAGTCACTTCTTACAACCCAAATTTGTTTGTACTTTAGGATCCCAATAATGGAAATTATGATGTCAAAAAACATGAAAACAGCTTGTTCTAAACAAATATCATTTTTACCACAGAAATGTGGTCAAAAATTACAAAAAAGTGGTAAAATAAAATGGTCAGATCCACCATTCAATTTTTTTTAAATTCAAGTGTTCAAAAATTAAAGCCAGATGGCCAAAAAATATAAAATTAGCTTCTTCTAGTCAAATATTCTATTTTCCAAAGAAATAAGGTCAAAAAAATGCCAAAAAATAATTCAAGAAATGGTCAGATCTCATCACCCAATTTTTATTAGTGTTCAGGATAACAAAAATCTAAGTCAGTACAAACATAATATAAAAATAGATAGAGAGAGAATTATCCTTTTTTCCGCAGAAATATGGTCAAAAAGGACAAAAAATGGTAAAAAAAGGCCCGTTTCAATTATTCATTTTTAAACTTCATAATCCAATAATTCAAAGTCAGTAAGTACGTCAAAAAACATAAAAGAAGCTACTTTAAGAAAAAAATCCTTTTTTCCAGAGAGATATGGTCTAAAAACCAAAAAATGGTAAAACAATGTCTGTTACTAATACTCCTACCACTTTTGGACCTTAAGAATATGGAATTCGAATTCAGCATGTCCAAAATCGTAAAGCTTACTATTAGATTGGGGTATTTTCCATGGATAGATAATTTTAAGCTAGTTACTGAACTATTTTTTAAAATTTTTAATTATACTCGTCATTTTGTGGCCGCCATTTTGAATTTCGAAATTTTCCTAAAAATGGTCATCGTCTATTCGAAAGCTCTTAAGTATATGAAGATTTTGAGATATTAAACGTATTTCTTCCTTGCTTTTACTTTTGGAGAGAACGCTCGGTTGACATAGAACGTCCCATATATATTTTTAAATATCCACAAACAATCTATAACCTTATATAAACATGTATTGAAGAGGTTGTTAATTAATAATTAATTAGCGAGTACCTTCTCTTTAAAGGGCTCGTGTGTAGTTAATTTTCCACATTTTTCAATGCAATTCACGAGAAATCGTAGTTTACATAGTAAAATTTATTTTGCGAAAAAAAGTCTTAATGTTTATAAACAATTGCGCTACGATTAAAAAAAAATTCTTATCTTGGCTCCTGTTGGACGTAGAGGATACTTTTTGTTTTTAAATTTGTATTTTTTTGCCAGCTATCCATTACATCTATTTTCGGTGAGGTAGCATAAATAGCAACAATTTTATTCAAATTGTTTATAAGCGAAAAACGCACGGGTTTTTAATGCACAATTTGATAATGTTAATGTCAAAAAACGGTGATATTTTTTAATAGGTCGCTTAATTATGTCTTTAAGATTACAATGACGCTTTCAGAATCATGTTTGGTTGAAAATTAACGCCTGTACAGAGACTTAAAGTTCATAACTTTTGGAGCCTCCGTTATAAACAAATTGAATTGTGCGAAAACTATTGCACCTACAGCGCCCACTTTTGGCACACTTTTAAAGTATGACAAAACCCTCAACTTGTCATAGGTTTTATAAAATTTTAACAATAAATGCGGTAGTTATAAACAAATTAAAAAATGGGCACTTTTCTTGTTTTTTGCAATAACTTTTTTGTATATTAACCGATTTTAATTTAACAAGTCTCATTTTGTAGATAATTTTACTCCCTACAAGCTGTCTGTGAGTCACTTTTCGCTAAAATTGATGCTTTTCCCTGCAAAGTGAATAAACTGTTTTCCTCACTTATTTGTTTAAATAGAAAAGTTAGCTAATAAAAATTTTTGACTCACGAGATGAGAGATGTCTTGTATTTTGTTCCTTTATACAATTTTACAATAATATCGCGGATAGGACTTTTTTCGAGTTTCTCTTTTATTTTCGCTAATTTTCCTGGTGTATTATGTTATTTTATGTACCTATAAAATGCAATTAACCAATTTTTACAAACAAAAAGTTTCATGCGTACTTTGTTTTTTTAATTAATTTTACAGCAAATTCAGCTGTTCTAATTGTGTGTAAAAATTTGTTGTTGTTGTGTTTTGTTAAATTTAAATTAGAAAAGTACAACTTAGTTACCTGCTAGTCATAGTATTTGTTTTCCTTTTGATAGTGATGACAAGAAAAACAAGTGACGTGTAAACGAAGTCGTTCCTAAAATGGATAAGGACACAAATAAAATAACAAAGTTGGCTTAAATGTGTACTGTTTATTTTTGAAAAGTCTATATTAAGTATAATATTATAATACACAAAATATTTGCTGTTAACATACATTATAATTTCTAATTAATAAAATATTGGAAATTAAGAGAATAATGTTTATTATCAGATCGAAGATTATCGTCATGTTTGTAGTACAACCAAAGTCAGCTAAATGAAGACAGCCGGGAAAACTGTTAATCTAAGGAAGTAATTATTTGCTGTAATAAACAACTACGAGTATTATCCAAGTGTCGCATTTCTATTCTTTGTTGTTTATCTACCTCCGTGAGCATCAGACTGTATTCGGCTAGTAGTTAAGAATACACGAGCCCAAACAGAGTCCAATGCTACCAGAAATAGCTGCTGGTACTACCATCTTAGACCAAATAAAAAAGTATCCAATTCTTCACAGTTTCGTGGTTGTTCGCAAATATAACACAAAGTCTTAGAAGTACCACAGAACAAAATACGTAGTACAACCAAGACCTTGTTTTATATCAAGTAAATTGAAAATTACCAATTTCATAGCCTTTTCGTCGGTGTTACTTTGTTAGTAGTAACACAAAGTGTCGGCTATTTCTACGGTGATAAGACGTAAGAATCGCCAACACCCTGTACAATACTTAACAATGGAATTGAGTTTTTAGACAGCTGCCTCTATAATTTGTTCTGTAAGCATAGTTCCTAAAGAGAATAAAATATTTTTGATCATAATCATAATCATAGAGAAGTTCTTGCTAGCACTATACGAGGCATATACTATTTCTACGATTACAAAAAACGTAGGAATTAGCAACATCTCGTACATTTCGTAGCAACTGTATTTCCGTAGATTCCTACTGGTACCTATCAAAAATTTTCACAGTACTGAGATTTACAAGTACCTATAGTACTTGTCTAGTCTTCTTAATCGATGATATCTGCCAGTACCACATCACGTATTTGATTTGTGCACGGACCAATAAATACGTACGCAAAACAAAACAGTGAGTCATACTCGACACTTGCAGTACCTGTTTCTATTACAAACATTTCTTGAAGCAATAGTACTTCTATTTCTTCCATGTTGATATTAGCACCTAAATTTAACATAACAAAAACATATATACAGAATACTGGCAATCCTTTTTAAACTACTCTGTTGTTTTGCGCATATACTCTTTTAAGGTACTGTTGGTTTGCTAGCACCACACTACGTGCCTGAGTTATATACGATTGCAAAAATGCGTGTATAACAACAGTAGCGTAGGTAATACTTAACAATATCCTCCTCTTCCATTTTTTAGTAGTAGCAACGATCTTGAAGCAGTTAGTACTGGATCTTCGATGGTAGGTTGCCAGTACCACCCATGGCTCAGATTTTACTATGAATAGAGAAAACGTATGTAGAACCTAAGCCGTGGTTGGTACCT